TGAAAAAGGCATGGGGAAGGGTTTCAGCTCTCCTTAACACAAAGAGCTCACCAGATAAGAAGATCAGTGATTGACAGTCTCTATACCTGTGCTGCAAGAAGCCACAGGATTACATCTATAAGAAGCTGCAGGAGGCCCGGTGCCTGTGGCTCAAGCAGCTAAGGTGCCAGCCACATACACCTGAGCTGGTGGGTTTGAATCCAGCCCAGGCCTGCCAAACAACAATGACAGCTGCAACCAAAAAATAGCCGGGCATTGTGGCAGGAGTCCGTAGTCCCAGCTACTTGGGAGGCAGAGGCAGGAGAATTGCTTGAGCCCAGAAGTTGGAGGTTGCTGTGAGCTGTGATGTCATAGCACTCTACCCAGGGGGACAGCTTGAGGCTCTGTCTCAAAAAAAAGAAGCTGCAGTCAGAGAGAGCTCATTCTTTCACAGACCTGCTCACTCTGACTCTTTCCTGCTCGGAGGGCCTCTGCCCAAGGCCCTTCCAAAGAAGACTGTTAAGATTCATTCTTTTATTAAGACTGTTTCTCTCCCTCGAATACTGTTTTTCTTTCTCTCCCTTCTGCTAAAGCGAATAGCCCTAAGGTACCTAATGGTAATTGTTCCTGAGCAAGATAGCACAGCAGTCTGTGTCTGGACAATAAATAAGCCAGGGCTGGAGACCTGGCCCGTTGGCACCCCAGATGGGACAGAGGTAGCCACTGACACTCGTCCCTGCAGAGGTGGGGCCAAGCCAGGCTGCAGGTGCCCAGCAGAGGCCTCCTTCCACAGTCACATCTCTCCAGATGGCACCAGACCAGGAAAGTAGGGGTGTCAACGCCGATTCCATCAGTGCTCTCAACATGAGCCTGGCTGGATCCTGCTCATGTGTTCCTTAATTGTTGCATGAGGGGAAAATCAGTATTTCATGTCATGAAAAATGCTACTGAAATCATCTCTACTGGACTTGTTTGTTCCATGGCCTGAGCCCTGGTGAAGACTGGACATGTTAGCTGCACCCAAGATTTGGACAGTTTTATAGGCCAGAAGCTTCCAAGTCTACTCGTCACCGCACTGACACCACGACATGCTCATGGCAAACAGCGGAGAATACCAAGACTTTCATTAGTAAGACAGGCCACAGGGAGGACAGAACAGTGTGCCGGGTACTGCACAGTTCACCCACACTAACTCATCCTCGAGCAGGGAGCTCAGATGCAGCCTGAACAGAACTGGGCATAAATAACCACTAGAGCAGTGGTTCTCAACCTGTGGGTCACAACCCACAGGAACTGTATTAAAGGGCTGCAGCATTAGGAAGATGGAGAACCACTGCTCTAGAGGCTCTCCAAGGGCCACATTGTACACTGGCTAGACGCCGAGTTTTGGAGTCCCCACTCCTGAGTGAGGTTCCTATCTCAGCTGCCTTGTCCAATCTCTCTGGGTTGTTCTAGGATTTATCGAGATCATATTCATGATGCACTTAGCATGGTACCGGCTTAGCAGTCACCACCCTGCTGGCGCCTCCACTGTCAGCTAAGGACTTTCCACAAATGACAAGAACTGTTACCCCTGCAGAAGGCAAGGGGTTCCAATGGTGACAAAGCTGACAACCTTTCCATCATCACCATTTTAGGCTGGTGTTGGCATTACTTCGAAAGAACCTTTTTGTTTTTAAAATATACTCACACATAGGTTTTTCTGGTCCTCCTCCTGTCTTCCTACAATTTCAGAAATTACATCTTCCCTGTGTGTCCCACATCAGACTCTCCACCCAAGACAGACTCCTGGTGTCATCACAGTTGCTCAGGTGGGAGGTGCAGCAGCCTCTTAAACTGCATAAGAGGGCCCCACAGGCGACACATGCCACTTCCTACCACACGGAGCAACTCATTTTTCATATCAGCCAGACTGAAAGCAACGTCGTCTGTGAGTTCAGAATGAGTAGTCTGTGAAGAGCTTGGAGGTGAGTGAGTGGGAATCATGAATGAATGAATGGGAAGTATTCACTTTATGGGTAGAATCCACTTAGTTCCCTGATACCTAAGGAGCTGGAAAGGGGACAGATGAGTCATCAATATCTTAAAAACACTACAGAGACAATGCAAATAATATGACTGAAATGCAAATGAAAACGTACTAAAGAAAACACCTGCAGTATAAAGGAACACCTAGTGCCCCCATGAAATGGAAAAGCATCGAAACCCTGAAAAATAAAGGGCACGAATTACACATTCATAGAAAAAGAAAAACAATTAGACAAGATAATCGTGGGGAAAGGGTCAACACTGGTGTATTGCATGCGAGTCTATCCTCAGGCAATAAACCAGAGGCAGGAAAACACGATTTGGACAAAGACGTCCGCGCCAGCTTTATGTAGAGAGAAAACGCCATCCATGGCCTGCATGCTCACTGGCAGAGTATTTATAGACAAATAAATTATAGGGCACATCGCCCAAATGGAACATTTAAAGGTTGGTAAAAATGATCATGAAAATTATGTGGCAACACAGAGAAATGTTTATGATGTGTTGTCAGATTTTAAAGGCCCAACGACAAAATTACATCTGAGGCATGACAACTACACACACCATTCACACTCTGAGCTTCAGTCTGAAAGGAACCCTGAGAAATGCAGCCAGCTCACTCCTGAAGGTGCGGAGGGACTGTGGAGAACTCATGTTTCACGCTCCCGTTTTCTCTAACCCTACGGCACTCTTGTCACCCATGCAATGACGGCAGGCACGCTTCTCAGTACTTGAGGTACTTTAAAGTGTCCGTGAGGTAACTTTTCCAACTTTTCAAGCTTTAAAATGAGTAGAGGAGAGTGAGGAATGCTGTTCCATTTTTCCTCCGACCCACGTTGGCTACAGCATCGCCTTTCCAATCCACGTGGTTTCTCACTGGAAGGCAGACTTGGATTCAGAAGTTCGGAGGTACAGCTCCCCATTCAGGCCGGTGCTGCTAGGCCACAGACCACACTTTCAAAGGCCACAGTCTAACACATCAAGGTAACCAGCATTACCCATTTCTCTACTTGGTTTTTGTAAATCACAGTCTCAACTATAGGAGACAGCACACTAAGTACGCTGACAGCACTGGACGTGGGACTCAGGGGTGCCCTGGGCACCTGTTTGAGGCCAGGCCTTTGTGGCTCCTAACCAGCCTGGCTGTACCAGAGAGAGTGACGGTTGCTTTCAGGAAAGCAGGTTGTGATGTCAAGCAGTCTCCCACCACATTCTATGTGCACAGCCTTTGTAGAGAATATTGCTTTCTAGATGATTTCTATTGCCAGTGGCTCTTTCTGGTCAAATTTCAAAGATTGCCTCATCTGGAACAGGTTATTCAAACCTCTAGGATGTTGAAGACCTTGTCCTGTACCATCCTTAAAAAGAGCACTCAGGGGCCAGGGTCATTGTCAGCCCTGAGCTGGGAACTTGTGGGCTCTCTCTTTGACGAAATTAACTTGTTAAGGAATGAAGAATACAGCAAAAAAAAAAAAAAAAAGCTATAGGATTATTAACCAGCTCAAGTGAGCTTTCCAGGACATACCCTACTTGGGGAGAAAAGCTGCTTGCTTTTCCATTCAAAGCTACTTCTTCAGAGAGCAGACCTCCTCCTGGTCTTCCCTGGTGGTCTGGGACTGCTCCCACCTCCACCTGCCCTTTAAACAGCAAATGCTACCCATTCATTTGTTGATGATGCCCACTCATTCACCGCCCAGCTCCCTAATCCAGAGGTCTGTGGGTTTTCCTTCAAATTAGCATGTGGTTAGTGTGAGCCTTGCTCACTCCCCACCAGGCTCTACAAATACTCTCTCTAATGAGAACCTGGCCAGGGACGCCATTCGTCACAAGATGCAGCATGCCATGTGTCCCTGGGCAGCCTACGTCAATCCCTGCGGGGGCCATCGCCATTGCTGGGGGACAAGCCAGGCCCTGCCACTGACTGAAGAAAGATGGAGGTACTCTGCCGACAGCCCAGACCCAGGGTTCTGGGTGCGCTCCCCCAGATCAGTTAGCACAGTGGCAGTTTCTTCACAGCCCACAGACCCCCAGTGAAGGCAGAATTGCCTGAATGACAGAAACACCTCCAAAGCAAAGTCAACAGACCCTGATGCTCTTTAGAAAAAACTAAAAGGCATGAAAATATAAGCGCTGGGAATCTAATAGCAAGTTGATATGATTTATATTCCAAACACAAGTCCTCACTATATAGATAATAAATATTCAAACTCATGAACTCTTTTGGGGAAAAAAATAATTAAGGCTTTAAAAAATATGAAAGCAGTCCACACAACTGATCAAACAGAAGTTCCTTCACACGAGCTCAATAATCACATCTTCTTTATATACTCACAGAGGGTCCTGGTTTTTTTTTTTTGGAAGGCAGCTTTTCAAAAGTATTTATTAAAATACATGCTTACTTTGCTATAATTAAAAGAAAGCAGAGTTATGTGCACATCCACTACCTCATTAGCATGCATTTCTTCTCCAAGATTTTGTCAAGCCTTCAAATAATTATTTTCAAAATAGTTATTCACAGCTAATTGCCCATCAGGCCAAGCCCAAGGGCTTTCAGAGACATGTCACTCAGACCCAATGGCCACTGGGAAATCCACTCAGGCCACTTTGCCCTCAGCCACTGTCATGTATGAGCACTGGTGCCCCCACGTCCTTGCTGGCAACTTGCTGGCCTGAGTAAACCACCTGGGGGATCCCCCTGCCCTAAGGTAATCTAGGGAAGTGGGTGAAGAACTAGACCTCTTCTGGGCAGTAGGGGTGTTTTCTGGGAGCCATTAATTGCCAATAATCCCTCAATGAGACTTTTGCTGTATTTACACCTAAATCTGGGGGTAAACTTAAGAGTGGTCAGAACATCCAGGCAATATATCACATAACTGAGCAAATGATGAGCTCAGCTCCCTCCCACCTTGGCTTCAGCATCTGCAGGGGCTGCACCAGAATGTCGCCTGCTCTCAGGCCCATGTCCCCATCCCTGGGGATAGCCAGAGTCTTACCTGCTCTTGGGGCCATTGTGGCCTCTCCTCTGGGGTCCTGGTCTTGGTCTTGAAGCCTCTCAGAGCATCTCCAGGGTGGTGCTTGGCCTCAGGGGGAAGGTTCAGGGACTTGGGCCTTGCCTCGTGCCTGCTGGGAATGTGGCTGGTCTTGCCAGGCAGACAGGCCTCTGTGGAGTCCCCGGGCCCTGGCTCAGGCCCATGCTCAGGACTGGCCTCACTCGCGCTGGTAATGCTGGTCATGCTCAGGCTCATCTTGATCTCAGCCACGATCTGGTCGATGTCCTCCTCCTGGTCCTCCAGCTCCCCGTCCCCACGCCTAGGGCGGTAGGGGGAGGTGCTGCCTGCATTCCCGTTGGCCTCTGTGGGGTAGCAGTCCTGGTAGCTCTCTTTTCTGGGATAGTAGTGGCTGCTCTCTTCTGGGTCATGGGCCTCCAGGACAGAGGGCTCATCCTCTGGAATGGGCAGGTGGCCATCTGGGTAGTCCTGGCTCCCTTCGGACCCGTGGCCATGGGGGTGCAGGCCTGCCGAGTCCGTCCACTCCTCCACTGCCTCCTGGCACTCGTCGGTGTCCACGGGATGTGCTCCATGGGCCAGGTACTCCTCCCCATTGCAGTCCATGCCCTCCAGGTAGCTGTCATCCTCGGGACAGTAGCGGATGTAGTAGGTGATGCCCTCCTCCTCCTCCGGCAGGCCCTCATCGTAGTCCTCCTCCTCGGAGGTGTTGTTCACGTAGTCGGAGCTGGAGTCTCCATCGGGGCTGTGGTTGTGGCATTCCTGCTCCTCTGGCGTGGGGCTCTCTGGCGGCAGCGTGGTCAGCTCCAGACCCTTGGGCACATACGCCTCCAGCGGCAACTCAGTGTCCTCACTCTCAGGCTCCTGGCTGTGGGGGACAGGGGACGGCCTCGCCCTGTGGTCCAACATGCTGCTGGCTGTACACTGACGCTTCCGGTGGGCCATGGTGGACACTCATGCGGCCATCACCACCTGGGGGCAGCCACTGTGGGAGGAATGTTGGAAAGAATGGTCAGAATCTCACCAATATAGCCAACCTGACACACACAAGACCCCTCCACCGCCACAGGGGTGCCTCCGCCACATTTGCTCAGAGCAACGTGCATTCATGCCAAAGAGAAAGGGGCACGCGGAGCTCAAGGAAAAGCAGGCGAGGGAGGCAGCAGCAATTCTCCAGGACGCCCTCTCTTCCCTGGGATCACTGGCTCAGGGTGAGTGGCCCAGGTGACCCAGATAAATGGTCATGACATTAGGTCATTTGCTCTCAGAAAGCAAAGTGAAGACTGATGAGGAGGGGTGTTAACACTTCTCTGTTTGAATCAGTGGCTCCCGAAAAACTGACTAGGCCCCTTCCCCTAACAGTCTTGGAGGGACCAGATGTGCAGGAGCCATCTAGGCTGAGCAACATTCAGAAAAGCTTGGTGCAAGTCCCCAGGGACATGGACTGAGGGCTCAGGAGGCAGGACTGGGTGAGCCAGCTAAGGGAGGAAGAGGAGAACAGGGCCTGGCTACAGCCTGTAGATGTGCAGGCAGGTGCCACCGCAGGAGTGCAGCAAGGACCCCAATGGCCCAAACTGGGAGAGGGCCTGGTCCCACCACCCAGGACCCTGCACATTATCCCCCAAACCATATTGCTGTGGTTTCGATGTATCTCCCCAGGTTCACGTGTTGGAAGCTTACCCCTAATCCAGCCGTGTTGAGAGGAGGGACCTTTAACAGGTGGTGAGGTCATGAGGGCTCTGACCTCACATTTGGACTAATGCTGTCATCTTGGCAGTGGGTTTGTTATAAGAGTGGGCCCAGGCCCCTGCCCCCCGTCTCTCTTGCTCTTTCTCTCTCAGCCTCTCACCTTCTGCCATAGGTGATACAGCAAGAAGGCCCTCACTAGATGACGGCACCTCCATCTTGGACTTCTCAGCCTCCAGAATTGTGAGCAGTAAATCTCTGTTTTTTATAAATTACCCAAGCTCAGCTATTCTTTTATAGGAACAGAAAATGGACCAAGACATCCACAGAGTCATGGGGCAATTTTCAGCACAGAATTTCTCTGTGGGCCTCATCTCTCTAGACCCCAAAGGGGACAGAGGCTGGAGCAAGGGAAGCCAGTGACAAGACTTTGCATCTTCCCAGGGAACGAGGGGTAGCACCAGCCAGGGCATTCAAAACCTGGCTCAGGCTCTATTCCTCAAGCTGAGTGGTTCCCCAAATGTTCATATTATTCTTTAAATTATACATTTATATTACATGCATTTTTTTGTTACATTGTAGTTATTTATTATTAAAACTTATTCCAGAAGCCCACTTAAGTAATGAGAGCTTGTATGCTTAAAAATGTTTACAATAATAAATGCTATGTTATGTTTATTTTATTGCAGTTAAAAAAAAATGAAAAGAGAGGAGACCTTAAAGTAGTGCAGAGGAGATTGGAGAACTGGCTCAGTGGGTGCTCAGGTAAGTGGGAGCAACAGGGTCTGGAGTCAGCTGGGAGTCAGGGGTGTGGCAGCAAGAGAAGCTCAGGAACCCTGGCAGTCACTGCCCAGGCTGAGCCTGCCTCACTGTGCATCCTCTTTCTTACCTCTTCAGCTTATGCCACAAACTAAAAGCCTGTCACATTCCATATCCTCCAGAGCTGCCCACACAGCCTCTCGCTTGCAGGGTGCCCAAAACACATCTTGTTATGAGATTGAGTGATGAGATGGTCACAGTCACAGCATTATGAATATTCCTAAAAAAACTGACAAGAAAATGATTTCGTCCAGACACTCAGAGGACAAGCACAACTCCTGATGGAGCCACATGCTTCCAACGCTGGACTCCACTCCAAGGACACTTGTCAGCACTGACCGTCACCCACGGGGGCTTGCAATGGCCATGTCTCAGCAGCATTGCTAGAATGCTGAGAGGTTCACAGCACTTACCCAGAGTGTCCCACAGACTACAGAGATGTCCTACTCCAGAAAACCTGTCACTGGGAAGGACCCCAGGAGGCTCTGTCAGCCATCTCCAAATCCTCAAACTGGCAATTCCAAAGAGCATCAGCAGAGGACCCTGCCTCAAAGACAACACATGATTTTACAACAGATTTCTTATACTCACAGAGAATAGCCAACTGCAAGGGACAGTTTGCAGCAGTGACATACAGAGCTCTTAGCAACCACACTATTTTGGATACAATCTCCAGTAATAGAACAGCATTACTCAAAACAATCACTCAGAAGCAGGTGCTGAATGCCATGGCTAATGTGCAACCAGATTTCCATGTCTTCCCTATCAGAACGGTGTAGGGCAAACAGCGCACAACTGGCACTATCCTATCTTCACATTTCTCTGTCATTTGGGGGATAACAATCTGCAATATGCACAGGGACATGTGTCTACCCAAACCTACAGAAAACACCCTCTGGGCCAATATAAGACGTAAGGACTAACGCATAAATACACGTGTCACAGTCAAATGACATCGTTTCATCCTTGTCCAAGTTTTTAAAAACTAAAACATGGAGGGTACTGTAGCAGAATTAAAAGAGGATCAGGAGTTTGTTTTCCATTATCACATCCAATTGTCTCTCCAAGCTTTCAAATGATCTGGAAGAATTTATCCCAAGCATTCACTACCAGTAGCCATAGAATTTGGATTGCGATTACTTAATTCCTCACTCACCACTGCTTCCTATACTATTTTTTTTTTTTTTTTGGAGAGTCTCACTATGTTGCCCTTGGTAGAGT